GGGGATGTTGGAGGGGTGGTTCTGTCATAATTTTACATAGGTAATCTCAACCAGAAAGAGCAAAGAAAGTATGTGGGTGTACAAATAGGCCCCTCTTACCTGAGCTTTTGGAAGGACTCAGGATTTTTACTCTCAGTGAAATAGTGAGTCATCAAAAGGTTTTGAGCATGATTTGACTTATATTTTTAAAGAATTATTCTGGTCACTGTGTTGAGGATCAACTGTAGGAAGGCAAGGTCAGAATCATAGAGTCCAGTCATCTGGCTATTACAGGAATCAGCATAAGAGATGGTAATGGCTCAGGCTGATATGGAAGTGGTAAGAAGTGGTCAGATTCCATATATATTTAAAGGAAGGGACTATAGGATTTGTTAATGAATCAGATACAGGTGAGAGAAGAAAAGAGTTGAGGATGATGCCAAGGTTCTCTACCTCATCAAGCAGAAGATGGAGCAGAGGGAAGCAAAACTAGAGGGTAAAAATGGCAGTGAGGAGACTGTGCTGTGGTATAAAGAGAAATGACAAGAAGCTGAATTAAGGCAATGGCAGTGGGATTTTGGAAAGAGGAAGTATCATCCAAGAAGTAGAATTAACAGAACTGGGGGATGGACTGGATTTGCAAGATGAGAGTTGAGTAGGTTTAAGATGACACCCACGATTCTGGCTTGAAGTAGGTGTTATTATTGTCATTATAGGCAAATGGGGCATAAAGAGTTTGCATAAACTGACCAAAGATTTAGAGGCTAATAATTTGTAGACCCAGGATTTGAACTTAGATGTTCTGGCTCTAGAGCTTGAGCTCTTAACCATTGCATGGGGCACATTATTTCCAGAAGAAAGAAGGCCGCTGGTTGGAAAGTACCTTTACAACATTGTCTGTCTCTCAATTGACTCAAGCGGGCAGTGTGCAAGGGAAGTCCCTTTGGATGGGCAAGGAAGAAGGGGAAGTTAATGCCAGTGATGGGTGAGCTGAAAGTCCTTTCTGTTGCCAAAACTACGTTATATGCTATCCTTTTGTGCTCTAGAAATGAGAATGCTAGACTAGTACTAGGCCTGCAGGTGCCATTTAAGACATCTTTTCTGGATACATCTGCATTTTTGATAAGAAAGAGGATCTTCAGGTCTAGCTAAGGTGTGCCTTGAGCATTTCTGGATAGAAAGCACTCGATTCTGTTCCCAGTTGTTACCTGCTGTAATATCTTCCTCCTTAAAATAAAAGCAAGGATACAGCCCACTGTGGACCTCGCCTACTCTTCTAGCTATGGCCACATTTCTCATCTCCTTTTTTAGCATTCTTCTCTAAAAAATTGCCTATATTCTGTTGTCTTCCACATCCTTACCTCTTATTTTCTTTTGAATCCACACAGGCTTTCATTATCACCAAATCCACTGATACCAACTTAACCAGATTATCCATGAATTCCATACTGCTAAGTCTGACTCTCAGGAGCTTTTGGCTCACTGACCACTCCCTCTGTAACACTTTGTCTTAAACTCTAGGTTTTATTGTTATTTAGCTATGACTGTCATTGAAAAAATATTTTTTTTATACTCATAGATCCCAAAAGAAAAGAGCATGTCACACCACACGGGGCCATACAGTGATGCGCCAGAGTCAGACAGGAGACAGAGGGAGAAGGGGAAAATCTGGGCAGGAGCCTTTATTGTGTTTTGCACTGGAAGGAATGGGCAAAGTGGGTGAGCAGGCTTAGAATTGGCTAGATTGAATAATTTAGCAGGCTCTGGGACATAGGAGCTGTCCCTTACTGTCTGGTACCTGGCACTGGGGTGATGAAAGGCAGGTGGGTAGTGGCACAGAGTTGAGAGTCCATTAAAGGTGGTTGGAGGTGTAAACTCTGGATTGGAATTCTTTAATCCTGGGAGGGCAATCCGTCCATGGTCAGCAAGACCCCAGATGTCAAAGCATTTGAATACAGAAAAATAAAGGACCTAGCTAATTTGCCTTTTTAATTTTCCTCTCAATCCTCTTTGCTAGTGGCCTCCCGCTCAAAAATCAATAAATGTTGGAATGCCCCTCATCTCAGTCCTTCGACGCTTTCTCTTCTCTTTCGCTCTTTAGGTGATGTCATGCAGCCCCATGGCTTTAAGTAATACTATATTTCGATGACTCCCAATTTCATATCTCTACCCCCAAACTCTAGACCACTTGTTACCTAACTGCCTACTAAACATTTTCACTTGGATGTCTAATAGGCATCTCAAACAGACATATTCCAAACACAGTTCTTGATTTCTGCTCCCTAATCTGCTTCTCTCTCAGTCTTTTCTATTTTAATAAGTAGTACCTGCATTGCTCTAATGACACAATCCCCAAACCTAGAAATTTTCCTAGATTTTTCCTTTTTTTTTAAATTAAGTTTATTGGAGTGACATTGTTTAATAAAATTATACAGGTTTCAAGTGTACAGTTCAATAATACAGTCATTTGTATATTACATTGTGTGTTCACCACCCAAAGTCAAATTTCCTTCTCTCACCATATATTTGACCTCTTTTACCCTTATCTACCACCCCATTTCCCCCCTTTCCTTCTGGTGACCACTAAACTGTTGTTTGTGTCTATAGGTTTTTGTCTTGTCCATTTGTTACTTTCAGTTTTGTATCCCACATGTAAATGAAATCATATGGTTTTCAACTTTTTCTGTCTGACTTATTTCACTTAGCATGATTATCTCAAGATCTATCTATGTTGTCAAAAATGGCAGGGTTTCATCTTTTCTTATGGCTGAATAATATTCCATTGTTCATATGTACCACATCTTCTTTATCCAGTTATCTATCAAAGAGCACTTTGGTTGTTTCCATGTCTTGACCATCGTGAATGATGCTGCAGTGAACATTGGGGTGCATATATCTTTACAGACAAATGTTTTCAAAACTTTTAGGTAGAAACCCAGAAGAAGGATTGCTGAGTCATATGGTAATTCTATTCTTAGTTTTTTGAGGAACCTCCATACTGTTTTCCATAGCAGCTTTACCAATTTACATTCTCACCAGCAGTGTATGAGGATTCCTTTTTCCCCAGAGCCTCTCCAATCCTTGTTAATACTTATCTTATTGATGAAAGTCATTCAAACAAGTGTGAGGTGGTATCTCATTGTGATTTTGTTTTGCATTTCCCTAATAGCTAGTGAAGTTGAGCATCTTTTCATATGTCTGTTGGCTATTTGTATGTCTTCTTGGGAGAATTGTCTGGTCAGGTCCTCTGCCCATTTTTTTATTGGATTGTTTTTTGTTGTTGTTGAGTTGCATGAATTCTTTATATATTTTGGATATTAGCTCATTATCAGAGACTTTGTTTGAAATATCATCTCCCATTCAGTTGATTGCCTCTTTGTTTTGTTGATAGTTTCTTTTGTTGTGCAGAACCTTTTTACCTTTTTAGTTTGATATAGTTCCATTTATTTATTTTTGCTTTTATTTGCCTTGCCTTTGAGGTCAAGTTCATAAAATCCTATCTAAATCAAAGGTCTATGAGTTTAGTATGTATGTTTTCTTCTATGCAATTTATTGTTTCAGGTCTTATATTTAGATCTTTGATCCATCTTGAGTTAATTTTGGCATATGGTGACAGATAGCAGTCTAGTTCCATTGTTCTGCATGTGGCTTTCCAATTTTCCCAGTACCATTTATCAAAGAGGCTTTCTTTTCTCTATTGTATATTTTTGGCTCCTTTGTCAAAAATTATTGACTATATTACCCAAACAATAAATAGATTTAATGCAATCTCCATCAAAATACCAATGGCAGCTTTTGAAGAAATAGAACAAAAAATCATCAGATTTGTATGGAATCACAAAAGACTCCAAATAGGCAACACAATCCTGAGAAAAAAGAACAAAGCCAGAGGTATCACACTGCCTGACTTCAGCTTATATTACAAAGCAACAATAATCAAAACGGCATGGTATTGGCAGAAAAACAGACGCACAGACTAATGGAACAGAATTGAGAGCCCATAAAAATTTAATAAATTTAAAGGACAAAGAAAAAAATATGAAAAGCCTTGAACAGCCCACTTCTTACCTCCACTAGCCCTATTACTCTGATCCAAACTATCATCATCTCTGCAAAAACATTTCTCACTGATCATCCTGCTTCTAATCTAGCCCAACCCACTCTCCTTCCCAGCAATAGTCTATTGTCTACACCAAAACTGAGTCTTCTTTTAAAAGTGTAAATGAGATTATGTCATTCTCATCCATATCCTCCACTCGCTTTCCATTATTTTCAGAGCAGCTCTTCTTTGACCTGACTTAGATGTATGACTCCAATCAATTTCCCTTGAAGAAATGGTTCCATGGCTAATACAATTTTGAAAGCCTCTTGGAATACATAATAGTGACAGTCATGTATCCTGTACTTTTGTCTTCAACCATGAGAAGTTCTTGGGTGGGGAAAAAACAGGGACCATAGGAGGTGGAGCAGGACTAAGGTTGGGCACCCACTCAACAAAGCCATTTCTCTGCTTTCCCTGTCTAAACCTTTTGGTAACAGGTAGTTCAGGTAATGAGCAAACTTCATCACAGCACTCAAAAGAGCTTCACTACTTTACCTGCACAGTCAACTTATCAAGTATTTATTGAGAATCTAGCTCTGTTCCACTAAGCATTATGAGTATCTGACGCCCAGAGTTCCGGTCCAGCTGAAAGGGATAGTGTGGGTTATTCGTTTGACAAACAAGATTGGTTTTCAGCGGTCTACTACTGAAACTATGGGGGGCTTCGTGGAAGAGATAAAGAGACACACATAACCACCAGTGTGAATGATTCAGAGGACTGGTTCATAATCAGAAGAGGCCGTTAGTAAAGGAAGAAGAGCTTCTAATTTATATGGATAAAGAGTGTCTTGCTTCCTCTCACCCTATCTTCCCTTTCTTCTAGACAATCAATCTATATAACTTTTCTTCCCAGCTCCACTCTACCATAGTCCACCGCCTCACCCAAAGATTTGTTTATGAGTCATTTCCCTGTTTGCAGGAGCGAGCAAATCACCAAATTCTGAGACCCAGCAACATTTCAGAAGGCCCTGAGACTTTCAATTTTCTCGTTCAGATCCGGTACAGAATATGTTCCTCCTACTGCTAATTTTCAGCCTGGGAATGCAGCTTCAACAGACAGCAGGTAAGAACAGACAAAGGGAGGGGCCTGAGAAAAAGGAGCAGTTGATGGTCCCTACTTGAAGCCAAGGATGAGGATGTGGTTTTTAGGATGAAATTTTTCTTTGAGAGGTAATGTGATTACTGGCTGTTACAAGCATATGTCTCCCTCATTAAAGAGTTTTAATTTCAAAGATTTTTTATAAAGTTTACCTGAGAAAGAAAGAAAAAGAAAACAACTAACAGATCTAAAGATCAGTTTGGAGAGGGTAAGAGACCTGGGATGAGGATAAAAAGGAAAATCTTATTTAGCATGTTTACTAGGTTTTTTTAAATAAGAAGTATGCATTTACTTGCATATTAAAAGAAATCTACAAGAGATATTACTTGTATAATTAAAATATAATTTTTAAAGTGTAAGTATCTTTTAAAAAGCACATGAGAATAATCAGGCTACAGCATCCAGTGCCCAAAGGGAGCCATGGCTATCAGGGTGACCAAACTGATGACCTCACTTCTCTAATTGTTCTTGTGCATGCCTAGACCTGCACTCTTCATTAAAAAGAGAGGGGGACAAAAGATATACAAATTAGATCAATATAGTTCCTTATTACCCTTTCTGTGTAAATTTCTATTTTAAAATTTTAAAAATGATGCTCTTAGCAGAACTGCTAGTCATTGCAAAACAAAAAACAAAAAAAACAAAATAACCCAAAGCCCATCAACAAGAGAATGCATACCTTGTATTCGTAGAATAGAGTATTATACAGCATGCAAATAAATTAATTACAAAAGCATGCAACTGCATCTAGGAATTTTATCAGCATAATGTTGAGGGGAAAACAAAAAATCAAGCACAGAGGATGACATAAGCACAGTGTCCTTTTAATAAACAATATATTGCTTAAGCATACATGTATATATGATAAAACTAAAAAATAAGCAAGAGAATGCTAAATACAATATTTAGGATGGTGATTACCTTTGGTGGAGGCAGTAGATATATATCATTTGTAATGTTCCAGTTCTTAGGGTAGGTGGTGGGTTTTAGTAAGCACTGATAAGTATATCTTCATTGTACTTAATTTAATATCTTAAATTATTTCTGCATTAAAGATTTAAATGCAGAAATAATTTAAGTAATTAAATTTAAAATAATTAATTTTAAATCAGTAAAATTTAATTTTTCGTAAAAACATCTATGAATTTTGACAAATGCGTAGTCATATAACCACCACCAAAATCAAGATCCAGAACAGTTCTATCACTTGCCAAACCAACCAACAAAGAAAAAAAACCTCCTCTAACTTTTAAGCCCAGGCACACACTATTCTCTGTCATATAGTTTTAACTTTTCCAGAGTCATAAATGGGTTCATCCATTAGATACTCTTTTTGTCTGGCTTCTTTCACTTAGCATAATGCATTTGAGATTCATCCATATTGTCATATGTATCAATAGTTCATTACTTTTTTTGGTTGAGTAGTATTCCACTGTATGTATGTGCCACATTTTGTTTATTCATTCCCCAGTTTAGGGACTTTTGAGTTGTTTCTTATTTTTGGCAATACAAATGAAATTGCTGTAAACATTTGTGTATAAGTTTTTGTGGGAACATAGATTTTCATTTCACTTGGGTAAAAATCTAGGAGTTGGATTGCTGGGTCATATGGTAACCTGATAAGGCACCATCAAACGTTTCCATAGGGCTATACCATTTTTTGTCAACAAAGCATGAGAGTTCCAATTATTCCACATCCTTGCCAGCACTTGATATTGACTTTGTTGTTTTCTTTTTTTAAGTCATTCTAAAAGCGTGGAAGTATCTCATTTGGTTTTAAATTGCATTTCCCAATATCTAGTGATGATAAGCATATTTTCATATGCCTATTGGCCATCTTCTTTTGTGAAGTGTGCATTCAAATCATTTGACCAGTTTTAATTGGGTTGTTTATTTTTTTATTATTGTTTTGAGAGTTCTTTGTAATTTTGGATATAAGTCCTTTATCAACTATGTGATATGCAAATACCTTCTCCCAGTCTGCAGCTCATCTTTTCATCTTTTAACAATGTCTTTTGCAGAGCAAAAAATTTAATTTGATGAAGTTCAGTTTTTCAGTATTTCTTTTTTGGATTGTGCTTTTGGTATCATACCTAAGAACTCTTTGTTTCAGCCAAGCTCCAAAAGACTTTCTTCTCTGTTTTCTTCTAAATATTTTATAGTTGTACATTTTACATTTAGGTTTATAATCCATCTTGAATAAATTTTTATATAAGATGTGTTGAGGCTTTTTTTTTTTTTTTTTTTGCATATGGACATCCAGATGCTCCAGTCTCATTTGTTGAAAAAACTATACTTTTTCCATTGAATTGCCTGTGCACCTTTGTCAAAAATCAATTGACCATATTTGTGTAGGTCTATTTCTTGACTCTCCATTTTGTTCTGTTGATCTATGTGTATATCCTTCCACATATATATATATACTCTTTTATTATTGTAGCACTATAGTTCACTTTTTTTCTTATAGTTTCATTTCAAAACTTTACATCTTATAACCCAGACACATTTAAGGAGAAATATTTATTTTTGTATTTTGTCATGTTTGGAGGAAAAAGTTACTCCAGTCTCACCCTTTTCATTGATGTTTCCTTCTTCATCTTCCAAAGATGGATAAAAACCGGGAGGTGAGGGGCACATAACCATGGTGATGCTTGAGGTGACTCTGGGGCAGGGACCACAACCTGGGTCACTCCACTTACCCTATCTTTGGCCTCCAAAACTACTTCTGCTGACCCCTGAGGTATACAAAGCAAAAGAATCAGGTTGGGAAAAAGATTTCTAGGAGACAAAAAGTCTCCATACTGTGTTTCTACAAAGAGAAGTGCATGGGTCCTCTTAGAGCACCTCGTTAGTGCCAAGAGCAAGCTTCTATCTTAAACCAGAAACTAGAGTTTTCTGAAAACTGTGTCTGTCTAAACCAGCCCCTACCTTTCAAGTACATTAGTTGGAAATCAGAACAAAATTAAAGTTCTGTTGTTAAATGGAAAAAAAGTATAAAATTAGTTTAAAGAGGAAACTATCTTGGGAGGTAATGCAAATAATTTATTTTGTGTTTCCTGGAGATGCGACAGGTGCTTATTCTCACTGATGCCTGCTTGCAAATAAAATGCAAAGTTATCCCCAAGAACTTTCAAAAAGTCTTCAGCATTATAGATGTACCCTAATCCTCTATATGTTTAACTGGATTACATAGATTTTTATCTTTTGTTTTAAAATGTTTACTTAATGAACCAATACAATATTGAAGTATGTATAATTACATAATTTTTAAAAAAGCTTCAGGATTACTCAAGGCAGTTGCTTTAATTTGTCTAAAGAACATGCATGTATGAATTTTTCATGCCCTGGCCAAGTCCTTTACCCTTTAATTTAATCAAGAGGCAGAAATGAATGGGAAAACCTGTTTTGTCTGCTTAATTTTGTAGTCATGGAAACTTTCCAATTTTTTCCCTCGTCTGACAACTTCGGGAGTTCAATGCTAGGTTGAAGCTTAATTTAATAACCATATGGCATATTTCTCTGTCTATAAAATAGGGATAGTAACTCTTACCTTATAGAATTTTGGGAACATTACATGAGATGATGATGTAAAGGTTAGTCCAGTGTCTGGCTCATTGTGCTTAATAAAATGTTAACTATTACTCTACTTCCCATTAACAGTTCAAATGCAAACCAGTGTTATAACTCTGCTTGTCAGATGTTAATGTGCATACAAATCACTCCAATGATGTTAAGATGCAGATTCTGCTTCTCTAGGTCTAGGGCAGGGCCTGACATTCTGCATTCTTAACTAGCTCCTAGGTGAAGCTGAGGACAATGCTTCGAATGGCAGGATGATAAAATATGTTTGCAAGTGCCAGATCATAAAGTCATAGCCAACAGTTTTCAATGTTCTTTGCACATTAGAAGCTTCCAAGGAAATTTTCAAAAATGATGCTGGCCTCACAAAAGAATTAGAATTTAATTTTAAAGGATCCTTAGGCATTAGTATGTTGAAAAGCCTTCCCAAATAACAACTAATCTTCTAGTTATTCAGAGCTACTCAGATACATGATTCATGTTTCCTAATCACTCTTTTCTCTCATGAACATTAGCTGGAAAATGTAACCTGTCTGAGAGGTAGTATACTTTATGCCTACAATCCTTGTACACATACACTCTGTACAAGGCAGTGGAGGGAAGCAAGCAAAAATGGATTTTTGTCAAAGACCCAGATAGTAAAGAGGGGAGTTCTGCTATATCTTATGGGGAATTCCAGAGGAAGTTACAGGCGTTCCCTCTCATGAGAAGAAAGCATAAGTGTGATAAATAAATTTGTTAAATAAATTCAATAGATGTTACACCCAAAGTCCTCTAATTCTTGTTATACTTCAGAGTCAACAACTAACTTTCTTTGCAAGCCCTATTCTCTCCCTTGTTTCCTGTTTTATCATGTGTAATAAAATAAGAAAAGGAAGTACCACGCAGGGAGTAAAAGTAGCATAAATTCATGAACGTGTCACATAGGAAAAGGTTAATAGATATTTGGTAAATGAATAAATATCATCCTTCAGGACAGAGCAGATTTGGTATCAGGTGGCTCTGTCTTAGTTATAAGAGGACTTCATAACTCAAGTATTTGAAGATGATTCCATTCATAAAGGGATCTACCTTTAAGAGGGTTCTATTATAGAGACTCAGGTGAAAATTACAACAAGTGTTCATTGGATTCCAGAAGATAGAATCATACAGGAAGTTTGGAAGTATGGCATCACTTTTCACATATATCATTCCAGAGTCTTCTCAACCTAGCCACGCAAATGCAGGTGTAATTAGCGTTCTTTTACACAGAAGCACTCGTTTAATCACACTGACCCCACCCACAAAAGAATCCTGGGTAGATATAATACATTTCTGTGCCATAGATCTCTTTTAGAAAAGCACATTAATGTTCTAGTCATTGTTAAAACAAAGGTTGAAGGCAAGATGTAAATTTGTCAGTTGTTTTTTATAAATCTCGGGTTTATGTATAGCACTTACCATCAAGTGTGCTTGTGATGATTAAGAATGCCAATTTGTGTGATCTTGAGCAAGTTGCATTTTGATGAAAGGAAAATGAGGGTATGATTAGGTTCATTCTTTCTCTCTCTCCCTCTTTCTGTTATTTATTTGCCAAAACCTTAACTAGAACTTAGTATGTGCTAGGCGCTGGAGATACCAGAACAAACTCAACCTGGTCACGGCCTTCAAAGACTTGTAGGATAATAGGAAGAAAACCTCGAGTCAGAAGAGAATTGCAATGAGAATCAGTTAAACAACAGACAATCCAAAATTTACTTACACTGTGAAATCTGATAGCTAGAATGGTCAGGGAATGAGCTTTCCTGGTTAATAAAATATTGTGATTAATAAAGATTGGCCATGCATTTTCCATGTATGGACTATATGGACTACCACTTTCCCAAGAAATAAAACATACAAAAGAAAGGAACTAATGTTTGCTGACAACCCACAACCGGTCAAAACAAGCTACTGCACGTGTGCCATTTCTCTTAGTTTTCACCACAATCCCAAGACGTAGATGCTAACCTTGTACCTTGACAGATAAGGAGATTCATAGATGTTAAATGATATGATCAAGATTAATCTCAATACAGTCAGAATTTGAACCCAGGTTAATTTGTCACTAAATCCAATGCTCTTTTCATACTATGTTTTATATAGAAATGACTCTTTGAATAGCATATGCTTTGAAACCCCCTCAAATATTTATCAAATGGTTGGTTTGACTGATTAATGAATGAATGAATGAAGCAAGCTCTACTCAAGAAATTTGATCTATTTTGTCATGATTCAGAAACTACTTCGAGATCTCACTACACTTCAGTCATAATGAATAACCATTCATTAATGATGGAAGCAGCATAATTTTGTACCATTTCTCACACTTTATTTGTACATGCACTCTTTCATTAGTTTTGCCATGTTTGACTACACTTTATGCTATCATTTTTATAAAATTCTTAAATCAACTCAGCTTTTATTTTTCGAACAAAATGGTATACCCTGTGGTAAATGGAAAACCAGCATCACTGGTACTGGTAAATAGAGGAGTGAGCAAAAATAAATGCAATTAAAGTAAAGTGGTGTTGTTAAAATCTACTCAGATACTGTTTTCTGCCTGGGAGCTTCCTGTTTTGTTAAAAGGAAAAATATCCGTTGTTAGAGGTGTGAGTCCGGTTGAAAATTATATGTAATTTGAAGGATTGACTAGAATTGAAGAGGGAATAAATTCCTCTCTGAATAATCTAACTCCTTTTAGGCCTTGAATCTGCCCTACCTAAAATCATTTTGTATACTTCTGGTGGTGTGTCCTCACATTTGGGGAAACACTGCTTCAGTAGAAACTACAGATTTTGAAACCAGACACATGACTGGCTCAGAATTTTAACTTTACTGGATGTCCTGAAGCAAACCTCTGTGAGCCAGTTTCCTCAACTATAAAACAGTAATTATAATACATATTTCATGGTCATATTTTCAGGATTAAATGATATAATTATAAAGAACAGCATAGTGCCTGGTACATAGTAGGTATACACTTAATATTAGTTCCATTCTTTGTTCCCCTTGTTGATAGAAAAGAAGAAGCTTCTACAATGGGCTTGTATGGTGCGGTGGTTAAGAGCAATTGGGATTTAGCAATACTGGGTTTGACAATGGCTATGCAATCATAGGCAAGTTGCTTAACTTTTCTGTGTATCGGTTTCATTTTCTAAAAATGAAGGTGGTCCTACCTTGCTGGTTTCCTAGGAAGGCTAACTGAGAACATGTATTAGCATAATTAACACGTGATAATTATTATTACTATCACTGATGAGAGGAGGTAGTATTTTGCAGAGAAAGATGTAATTTGATCCATATGAGTAAAATAAACCTGGATAATAGGTGGCAGGAGAGCTATCACCTGCACAGCTGGGGAGTGTTGAGAGGAGAAAACTACCTCAGAGCAGTAGATCAAGAATTCTACTCTTGTCCAGACTGGAGGGGGAAAGGAGAGAAAGGAGCCCAAACTAATGCCCAGATAGTGACAGGTATTTCCTGGAAAACGGGGGAAGGGTGAGTCCCCTCAGCCCCAGCTCTGTACAGAACTGAAATTTGAAGGCATACAATGGGAGACTGTCTCATTTTCTGTTCAGCTTTATTCACAGTGACAGTCCCTAAAGAACTGTACATGGTAGACCATGGCAGCAATGTGACCCTGGAGTGTGATTTTGAGACTGAAGGTCATGTGGAATTTGGACATGTAAAAGCCAGTTTGCAAAATGTGGAAAATGAGACCTCCTTACACAGTGCCATTCTTCTGGAGGAGCAGCTGCCCCTGGGGAAAGCCTTATTCCACTTCCCTCGAGTTCAAGTGAGAGATGAAGGACAGTACCGCTGCGTGATCATCTATAAGGGCGCCTGGGACTTCAAGTACCTGACTCTAAAAGTCAAAGGTGAGTAGTTCCCGTGGAGGCATTTCTCCAACACAGGACCTAAAGTGAGCTCAAGCAAAAGCTGGGAGGATGGTTATAAGGAGACAGAGCTATCTCAGAGAAAAGAAAAGCACCTGTTCAGAAATATTTTTTGACATTTGAGTATAAAGCAGCTGAGGTAAGGGTAATTTTGGGTAGGAGTTGCAGGAATAAACGGGTCTAGAGGAAGCCAGGAAATGAGACCATGAAAAGTGGGAGGGTGCCAAAGATAGGCTGTGCCTCATTCACAGTTCCTCAGAGTAAGAACATTAACTTGATTATTGAGCCACTCTTTCAGAATAGCTTATTCCTCTAGTTCAGAGCTTTTTAAACCATGGTTTGCCATCCAAAAATAGATTAAAATATCAGTTTAGTGAGCAGTAACCAAGTAGGTGCTTTGCTCCCAATAAAATGAATGAACAACATAAATAGGATACAATATATCAGAGGGTATCCTATAGTAGGGCTGACTATTGTTTTGTGAAACTCTTTAGAGGGTGTGTGTGTTGGCTCATGGTGTAAAATATTTTTTCTCATTCTGAGTCAGTCTAAAAAAATTAGGAAAGCACTACTCTAGTCCAAACCTCATCTATTGCAGATGAAGCAGTAGAAGTCCAGAGAAGTAAAGTGGGTGGCCTCAAGGAGCCCAGTTAAGTCAATAGCTGTCCCCATTCCTCTGGGTTCAGGGTTCTCTCCACCACGACATGAGCGAAGAACCCAAATCTGAAGAGAATCTTCAGGTTCTATTTGTTCTAGGAAAGATCATTTGGGAAAGACATGTAACAGCTATAAAAAATATATTTGACTCTGTTAATTGACTTGTGTTCTTTAGTCTTCATTGACTGTTCTGAGTTAAACTATGCCGATTTTTCTCTGCCTCTTCTTGATTTCCCATTAGGCCTCTGTTCTTTCTTCTGGAGGGTCGGTGGAGTTTGGTCCTAAAGACTAGTCAGTAACCTCGGCAACAATGATATGACTTTATGATCTGGCACAAAGGACAAATTAAAAGACATGAGAGTAAATATTGTTTTTACCTGTGATCTTGGGCAGGTTATTTCATCTTTCATAATCTCAAATAAAAAAACTTCTTATTTATAAAAGATTAACAATAGTAGTACCTACCACATAGGATTATTGTAAAAATTAAAATAGATAATGAACAAAAAGAACTGAGCATGGTGCCTGGCGTATGATATAATGAGTGTCCAGAGATTTGATTCAAAGACCTTCAGTTATGACAGGGCCAGTGACCTCCTCATACCTCAACTATCCATGAGTCATCAGGAAAGCCTTGAGCCTGGATGTAGCGGCCTTCTGTCTTTACCACACTTTTACATCTAGGCACCAACTGGGAGGAACTTCAATACATTGAAGTTAGTCTGAATTCAATTAATGGGACGATAGAGGACTTTACATTCTCAGGATCCCCTAATGTACTCTGGTACCTACACTCCCAAATAACTGTCCCTATGTTGGTTGATCTCTATTTAAATGCGGTAATGCATCTAGGGTCTTTGGGCAATTTGGGGCCAGTCATCCCAATTTTTCTCTGTGGTTGAGGACTGCTGCTCATACCAAGGAAGGCACTCTGTCTGCTTCCTTACCTAGATAGGGATGGCTCAGATGTGGAGAAGATTTATTCTTTAAATCTTAATTAATTAATTCCTTAGATCATTAATGGTCTTCAAACTATATGAGATATATGGAGTATATGGGGACCACAAAGATGTTCTAAGGAATGCATGGGCACAGGTCATTTTAGAAAATGAGTTTCTAGATCTTCCCAAGTACTC